TGCCGCATCATACACGCCTTGAAAATCTGGCGCCATTATTTGTATGGAGAGACCTTTCAGATCTACACCGATCATAAGAGCTTGAAGCACATCTTCACTCAGAAGGATCTCAACATGCGTCAGAGAAGGTGGATGGAACTCCTCAAGGACTATGATTGTGACATCCTATACCATCCAGGTAAGGGCAACGTAGTAGCCGATGCCCTCAGTAGGAAGAGTGCAGGCACCCTAGCCCATCTGATGGTTTCGGAATGCAGGTCCATTGGGGCTACGCAGCAGGTTCGACTGCAAGATCTGAAGAGGGCCACATGTTTGAGCCACCTAGCAGTCCAACCCGAGCTAATCCAAAGAATAAAGGAAGCCCAGTCAATCGACTCCGCCCTAGTAAACCGCAAGAAGGATGCAGAACAGGGAGTGAACTCAGAATTTCAGATCTCTGCCGACGGATTGATTCGTTTCAAGGACAGAATGTGTGTCCCAGACGACAATGAATTAAAAAGAGACATCATGACAGAGTCCCATAGTTCAAGGTTCGCCATGCATCCAGGAAGTACAAAAATGTACCAAACTATGCGACCCCGATTCTGGTGGAATGGGATGAAGAGAGATATAGCCGACTTTGTATCTAAGTGCTTGGTATGTCAGCAGGTCAAAGCAGAACATCAACGCCCAGGGGGGTTGCTTCAGCCTTTACCGATTCCAGAATGGAAGTGGGAACACATCACCATGGACTTCGTATCGGGACTACCCAAGGCACGATCGGGACACGATGCCATATGGGTAATTGTTGACCGACTCACTAAGTCTTCCCACTTCCTGGCCATCAGAATGACTAATTCGTTGGACAAGTTGGCAAGAATGTATGTCCGGGAAATAGTCAGACTGCATGGGGTCCCAGTAACAGTGGTATCCGACAGGGATCCCAGATTCACTTCTCGGTTTTGGAATAGTTTCCAGCAAGCTATGGGAACAAAGCTGTCCCTCAGTACTGCATTCCACCCCCAAACCGATGGACAATCAGAGAGGACAATCTGTACGCTGGAGGATATGCTCCGAGCTTGTGTCCTTGACTCCGGAGGCCATTGGGACGACCATCTACCCCTGATAGAGTTTGCCTACAACAACAGTTACCAAGCAAGCATCGGCATGGCCCCATACGAGGCGCTATACGGGCGTCCGTGCAGGTCACCGATTTGTTGGGAGGAAGTGGGCGATAGAAGATTGTTTGGCCCGGATTTAGTGGAAGAAACCACGTCCAAGATAGTTAAGATCAAGAAGAACATCCAGACAGCTCAGAGTAGGCAAAAGAGCTATGCTGATACCCGGAGGAGAGACCTGACCTTTGAGAAAGGTGACCGGGTGTTTCTTAAAGTCACCCCCTTCAAGGGAATTAGTAGGTTCGGTAGAAGGGGAAAATTAAACCCCAGATACATTGGACCCTTTGAAATCTTAGACAAGATTGGTACCACTGCCTACAGACTTGCACTGCCCCCTGAGCTCTCCCGGGTTCACAATGTGTTTCATGTATCTATGCTGCGCAAGTACAATCCGGACCCTTCTCATGTCGTGGCTCATGAACCGCTTTCACTCCGAGAGGACTTGTCTTATGAAGAAGTACCGGTCAGTATCACGGACCGAGAAACAAGAATACTCCGTAACCGGGAAATATCATTTGTAAAAGTCTTGTGGCAGAACCACACGCCTAGGGAGGCGACTTGGGAGCTGGAATCAGAATTTAGGGCCCAATATCCTCATATGTTTGATCAAGAGTAATGAGGCAAATTTGGGGACCAAATTTCTTTATGGGGGGGAGAGTTGTAGCACCCGGAAAGAAGGAGGAAAAGAAAAAAAAAAAAAAAAAAAAAAAAAAAGGGGGGGGCCACGTCAGCAGCCGCGTCAGCAGGCCCGGTCAGCAGTCCCGGCCAACCAGGGCCTGCCACGTGGCAAGATCGCGTCACTCCGAAAGGAGCCACGTTGGCGATCCGCGTGGGTGCGATCCGACGGCCCAGATCAATCACGCGATCGGACGGCCCAGATTCAAACGCACGGACGGCCCAGATTCAATCAAAAACGAACGGCCCAGATTAAAACGAAATGAACGGCTGTGATCAAAAGGCAAGGGGTTATAAATAGAACCCCCACACCAGACCAAAAACCCTAGCCGCCAGCCGCTCGCCGGAGAAGACGAACCAGAGGCCGACCGCCGCCACCCGCCGCCACTCGCCGCCGCACCGGGGAAATTTCCGACCGCCGATCGAGGTAAATTTCATACCCCCGACTCGTTTTTTCCCGCTGATTCCTCCTATGGCCAAATCGAGGCCGAAATCCCGGCCAAACGGCCGGAATACGCGGCCGAAGCCCAGCGGCGCCGCCGCGCCCCCTCTCGGTTTTTGCCTCCGACGAGGCCCTTCCCGGCCTCCGTTCGATGCAATTTTTATATCACCGTGATCACCATCTTTTTCTCTACAGGTTGACCGGAGCCGAATCACCAAAACACGAACCTCGCCGGAGAGCCGCTGCACCCGAGAGCGCCGCCGCCGGTAAGCTCCGTTTTTCCGTGATTTTTTGGCCCCCCGAGGGCCCTAGGGTTGTTTTCTGACAAGGACCAATGCGAGTGTGGCCGAATTCGGCCAAAAACGGCCGAAAACAGTCAACCCGAGGCGACTCGCCGTCGCCGGAGCACGGCGGAGCCGCCGTGCCGGAGTTGCGATTTGGTCCGAAAGGGGCCCTGGGCCTAATTTGGATTTTTTTTTGGAACACGTGCAGGTACTGTTAGTGTGTTTCAGTTCCCCGGGAAAAATTCAGGGAAAATTAGGGACGGCCTGCAGGCGCACTGTGAATCGTATTCGGATCTCGAAAACAAGTAAGGACCCCTCACCCTATTTCCTATCACGGTATTAAAGTTCAAAATGATAAAACGGTATTTCTTGAATTAACGCATGTGTGAAATTGCTTAAGGTTGCTAATGGAGCCCGAGTCTAGTGTGATTGATGATTTACTGTTATTTGGCCTGTTTACAGCTTTAAATGCAAAATGAGGTTTGATGTGTTCATTTTACAGATTTGTGTGCATGTACTACGTTTTTATTAATTATGGGTTGAATGACTGAAAAACTGATATTGTATGTTGTCTGTTGGTATGAATTACGATTTGCTTGTTTAAATGTGAATTGATGATGTTGATTGAGGAAAAGGAAAATGAAAGATTGTATAGACTGATAATTGTATTATGGGGGTCAGCCTAACTAGATATCCTGGGAGATGGTGGACGGACCGGGTCCGTAGGGAACCCTACCGGGATTGTGGTCTCACATGCCGGACGGGGTATGAAGATCTTATGGTTTTGGCGCCCATACCGGACGGGGTATGGGGACGGCCCGTTTCACCCTCATACCGGACGGGGTATTGAGGTTTATGGTTTTGGCGCCCATACCGGACGGGGTATGGGGACGGCCCGTTTCACCCTCATACCGGACGGGGTATTGAGGTTCATGGTTTTGGCGCCCATACCGGACGGGGTATGGGGACGGCCCTGGAAACTGATTATGAATGTTAAAGGTTAACGGGTAGCGGAACCCCTATGGACCCCCACGGATACTAGTAGGCTGGTAAATGAGAAAAAAGGATATGTTGTACAATGATTGAATTACAAGAGGCGTGATAAGTGTTATGTTTTACAGCTTAGATTATTCAATGATTATGATGATGTTATTGTTTTTCTCATATTGTTTTCATAAATTCCACCAAGGTAAGTGGATGGTAAAGGTTTTCATGTTAATAAACGAGTTTATTGTAAATTATGCTCCATTGGTCTTTTTGTGTTTTTCTACCCACCTTTACCTCCGTGACGGTGAGATATCGTGATGTTCTTACTGGGCTAGTGTAGCTCACTCCTTATTTAACCATTTCAGATCAGGAAGACATGGTTCCCGAGCCCGTTCCGCAGGAGGACGACGAAGGGGATACCTAGAGACTCTGTAGTCATACTCATAGTTTTATTTTCGAGTTTCTCTCTTAGTTAGTTTAATCTTTTATATTTTAAGTACGTTTCTGGTTTTTCGTG